AGGACAACACCTGTTCAAGTGCCTCAATTAAAATTATGCACCGAACGCTTACGGTAGTTAAATCGACGAGTTTTACAATAAATGGATAACCCACTGAGCTTAATTCTGTTAAATATTAACTTGGTGTTGCAGATCACCCTGTTAATGTCTATTACAGAAAAGTTTTCTTTCCTTTTTATTATAGCGTCATGTTTTTCAAAGATAGAAGAATATAAAAACCAAATAGTTCATCTTATTTTAAAAAAAATTTCTATGAATTGGTCGAAAAAGATGTTTTTATTAAATCCGTGTTCTTGAGCCAAAGTATAAGTGTTTCTGTCAACATAGCACGCGCTAGTCAAATGTCAGAAATGTCTTTACGATCCCTGACTGTGTATGGACGTTTTGTAGCTCTCAATGCACGAATGTGACTTTGTCATTAGATTTATATTCTATATAGACGTAGGAATAAAATATTGTAGATGTAGAGATACATATTGAAAAGGTTTATTTGTTACATGCAATCATACACTCTAAATAAAAATACTTGTAAGTAAATAAGAAAAATAAAAAAATGATTGTCAAAATAGTTAGATTTTACTAACGTACATGCTGGAACACCAAAACTTTGCCCTTTTTTAGTAAATAGAATTCTTCCTTGTTAATGAAAAATATTTTAAATTTGTAAACGGGATTTTGAATGATGCGAAATATAAGAACTGCATAATAAGAAAACTAGAAATAATGTACTTTTTTTATTTCTATATAGGAATCCTTTCATATTATGAAAGAAATAAAACAGCTTCTGTCCAAAATGTCCATGTCAGAATGGATTGAACCCAGCCACATCCGGACCAGAACACTCATACTCTGCCACAGAGCAAGCAACTGCTTGAGTCTGGCGCCTTAGACGCTCCGCCATTCTGACGATATCTCAACTTTTATCCCTTCAAATTTTTTCTAATTTTCCTGAATGAAAACGCATCCTTTCATGACAGTATTAACACAATATTCCATGACACCTCGTTCAGGCCGGATTACAAAAAATTATTTCAGCAGGGGACTCGAACTCCCACCAATGTGGAAAGGTACACGAAATTTCTCCCCCATTGTTTGTTGCTTTAACCACCTACTCGTTCGGATTAGCTCGTTATTTGTGTAAGTTCGTTGGTTTATTTTCTTTATTTGATATCAAAATAACGCTTTAAATATAAAATGGAAAGAATCTATTTTGTATTATACACTGTCGAATTTAGTTCTCTTCAAAATTTCTGAGAAGATTTTTTATTAGGAAAAAAAACGAAAAATTGAGGTGGAATTATGAACCTATTCAGTTGTGGCCGAGAGGTCTAAGGCGCCAGACCCAAGATGTTGCTTTTGCAGAGTGTTAGTTCTGGTCCACGTATGTATGTGGGTCTGAATCCACTCTGACAGTGTTTTTAATTTCTACTTTTAACGAAACAATTTCGCAGCGGTATTACTTAAAAAGAATTTTATGATTCTGTTCTTTTCTATTTGCTATACTTCATTGAAGACTATTTGCCATTTTGAAAATTTTGTCGAAAATAATTTTTCTTTAAATTTTTTCAATGCAAAAGATGTAGGATTGGCAGTTGCAAGAAGTTTCTTACCTGTTTATATGGTAGGAATATTGAGTCTGATTTGATTGTATAACTGTGGACGACTTGATAACTTTACGATTAATTGCCATACATCCCTTAATTTTGAAGTCTCCAAATGAGGAGGACAACACCTGTTCAAGTGCCTCAATTTAAAATTATGCACGAACGCTTGAGAGTCTAAATCTCGACGAGTTTTACAATAAATGGATACACCACTGAGCTTAATTCGTGTAGAATATTAACTTGGTGTTTCAGATCCCCTGTTAATTCTATTACAGAAAAGTTTTCTTTCCTTTTATTATAGCGTCATGTTTTTTAAAGATAGAAGAATTAAAAAAACACATAGTCATCATCTTATTTTTAAAAAAATTTCCCATATCTGAATTGGTCGAAAAGAAATGTTTGTTTATTAAATGTGTCTTGAGCCAAAGTATAAATGTTTCTGTCAACATAGCATGCGCGCTAGTCAAATGTCAGAATTGTCTTTTACGATCCCTGACGTATGGACGTTTTGTAGCTCTCAATGCACGCCTTCGAATGTGACTTTGTCATTAGATTTATATTCATATAGACGTAGGATAAAATATTGTAGATGTAGAGATACATATAGAAAAGGTTTATTTGTTAATGGCAATTCATACACTCTAAATAAAAATACTTGTAAGTAAATAAGAAAAATAAACAATGATTGTCGAAAATAGTTAGATTTACTAACGTACAGCTGCTGAAACCAAAACTTTGGCCTTTTTGAGTAAATTAGAGAATTCTTACCTTGTTAATGAAAAATATTTTAAATTTGTAAAGGATTTTGAAGATGGAAATATAAGAACTCGCATAATAAGAAAACAGAAATTGTACTTTTATTTCTATATAGAACCCTTTCATATTATGAAAGAAATAAAACAAAAGCTTTGAACCAAAATGTCCATGTGAAGTGGATTCGAACCCACGCCCACATCCGTGGACCAGAACACTCAATACTCGACAGAGCAGAATGCTTGAGTCTGGGCCTTAGACCGCTCGGCCATTCTGACGATATCTCAATCTTTTATCCCCTTCAAATTTTTCTAATTTTTCCTGAATGAAAAACGCATCCTTTCTGAAATACAGTATTCAATACTTTCACAATATTCCATGACACTCCTTCAGGCCGGATTACAAAAATTATTTCAGCAGGGACTCGAACTCCCACCAATGTGGAAAAGCGGGTTACACGAAATTTCTCCCTGAACATTGTTTGTCTTCTTAGACCACTCACCTGTTCGAGATTAGCTCGTTATTTGTGTAAGTTCGTTGGTTTATTTTCTTTATTTGATATCAAAATAACGCTTTAAATATAACATGGAAAGAATCCTATTTTGTATTATACACTGTCGGAATTTAGTTCTCTTCAAAATTTCTGAGATAGATTTTTATTAAGGAAAAAAAACGAAATATTGAGGTGGAATTATGAATCGACCTACGTGTCAGGATGGCCGAGCGTCTAAGGCGCCAGACTCAAGATGTTGCTTGCTCTGTTGCAGAGTGTTGGGCGTTCTGGTCCACGTATGTGGGCGTGGCTTCGAATCCCACTTCTGACAGTGTTCTTTAATTTCTACTTTTAACGAAACTAATTTCGCAGCGGTATTACTTAAAAAAAGAATTTTATGTGATTCTGTTCTTTTCTATTTTGCTACAATTTCATTGAAGCAATATATTTGCCATTTAAAAAGAAAATTCTTTGTCGTGAAAATAGGAATTTTTCTTTTAAATTTTTCCAGAATGCAAAAGATGTAGGATTCGGCAGTTGCAAGAAGTTTCTTACCCTGTTGAATATGGTAGGGAATATTGAGTCTGATTTGATTGTATAACTGTGGACGCACTTTGAATTAACTTTACGATTAATTGCCATACATCCCTTAATTTTGAAAGTCTTCCAAATGAGGAGGACAACACCTGTTCAAGTGCCTCAATTTAAAATTATGCACCGAACGCTTACGGTAGAGCTTAAATCTCGACGAGTTTTACAATAAATGGATAACACCACTGAGCTTAATTCGTGGGTTAAATATTAACTTGGTGTTGCAGATCACCCTGTTAATGTTCTATTACAGAAAAAGTTTTCTTTCCTTTTTATTATAGCGTCATGTTTTTCAAAGATAGAAAAATATAAAAAAAAACACATAGTCATCATCTTATTTTTCAAAAAAAAATTTCCCAAATCTGATTTGGTCGAAAAGAAATGTTTGTTTATTAATTCCGTGTTCTTGAGCCAAAGTATAAGTGTTTCTGTCAACATAGCATGCGCGCTAGTCCAAATGTCAGAATTGTCTTTTACGATCCCTGACTGTGTATGGACGTTTTGTAGCTCTCAATGCACGCCTTCGAATGTGACTTTGTCATTAGATTTATATTCTATATAGACGTAGGAATAAAATATTGTAGATGTAGAGATACATATAAGAAAAGGTTTATTTGTTACATGGCAATTCATACACTCTAAATAAAAATACTAAGTAAATAAGAAAAATAAACAATGATTGTCGAAAATAGTTAGATTTTACTAACGTACATGCTGCTGAACACCAAAACTTTGCCCCTTTTTTTGAGTAAATTAGAGAATTCTTACCTTGTTAATGAAAAATATTTTAAATTTGTAAACGGGATTTTTGAATGATGCGAAATATAAGAACTCGCATAATAAGAAAACTAGAAATAATTGTACTTTTTTATTTCTATATAGGAATCCCTTTCATATTATGAAAGAAATAAAACAAAAGCTTTGAACCAAAATGTCCATGTCAGAAGTGGGATTCGAACCCACGCCCACATCCGTGGACCAGAACACTCAATACTCTGCCACAGAGCAAGCAACTGCTTGAGTCTGGCGCCTTAGACCGCTCGGCCATTCTGACGATATCTCAATCCTTTTATCCCCTTTCAAAATTTTCTAATTTTTCCTGAATGAAAAACGCATCCTTTCTGAAATACAGTATTCAATACTTTCACAATATTCCATGACACTCCGTTCAGGCCGGATTACAAAAAATTATTTCAGCAGCGGGACTCGAACTCCCACCAATGTGGAAAAGCGGGTTACACGAAATTTCTCCCCTGAACCATTGTTTGCTTCGCTTTAGACCACTCACTCGTTCGGATTAGATCGTTATTTGTGTAAGTTCGTTGGTTTATTTTCTTTATTTGATATCAAAATAACGCTTTAAATATAACATGGAAAGAATCCTATTTTGTATTATACACTGTCGGAATTTAGTTCTCTTCAAAATTTCTGAGATAGATTTTTATTAAGGAAAAAAAAACGAAATATTGAGGTGGAATTATGAATCGACCTACGTGTCAGGATGGCCGAGCGTCTAAGGCACCAGACTCAAGATGTTGCTTGCTCTGTTGCAGAGTGTTGGGCGTTCTGGTCCACGTATGTGGGCGTGGCTTCGAATCCCACTTCTGACAGTGTTCTTTAATTTCTACTTTTAACGAAACTAATTTCGCAGCGGTATTACTTAAAAAAAGAATTTTATGTGATTCTGTTCTTTTCTATTTTGCTACAATTTCGTTGATGCAATATATTTGCCATTTGAAAAGAAATTTCTTTGTCGTAAAATTAGGAATTTTTCTTTTTTATCTTGGGAGTGAGCCATCATTGAATCCGGGTCACCTTTCGCTTCCCTGTCACAATTAATGCCATACTAAATAACATTTTTGTGAACAGAAAATCCTAATGAAATTGCCCAACAAAATTTAAATGTATTGATTTTGCTGTGTTGCTTATAAGTTTTTTCCAGTGTTCAAACATAGGACTGAGCTATCTATCGTACTGTAAGCTTTTTTTTCTCTCAATTTTAATTTTATTATTGAGTTAATATTTAGTTTATGTTTAGATAGAGAACTAAGTAAGCATGAAAAAAACCTTGACCACAAACCTTGATCCACGACCTTGACCACTAGGCTACCGCGGCCCCTCAATTTGTAATTAAATGAACCTTTTCCTTTTAATTGTATTTGTTATTTACAGGTATTGTTATTCTTAAATTTTTCAACCAACTCTAAAATTTTCCGTTCTAATTAGTTATTAATAGGAATAATTTGCAGAACAATACATAAGTATTTTGCCCATGCATTTATAATTCTTCCGAAGAATATCTTGATAATTTAAGACTAATGAAGTTGTTTTAATGTAAAAAATTAACAGATATTTATGCTATTTTTGACGCTGGTACCAATCTGAATTTAATTAAATTTAAGTATTATTTTTCGAATAATTCCTTATGAAAATACTCTCCAGTTTAATACTTATTGTTTTATATGAGGAAAGTTGAAAGCGAATTAGAGTAGAATATGAAAATAAATATTTAATGTATTTTTCACAAATACTTTTATTAAATTGTTTCTCTTAAGAAACAGAAGATAACTAATCAAGTTTATGCATATATTATTTTATGTTTGCAGAAGCAGCAAACTAAAATGAAACATGTTATATTTATGTATTATGTTTGGGAGTTTTATGAACAAAAGCATAGTATGAATATCTTACATATGCATTGTATAATTTATTGTTAAGTTAATAGTTTTTTTTTTCCCAAAAAAATAAGCAATACATTTTCTAATATCTTCAGATTCATGCATAAAATATTATTCTAAATGTTATGCTGATAATTCCATGTACTACATTACTGTTAATTTTGGATAAGGCAATACCAACGAAAGGAATGCACCTTCAGTTTTTCTCGATACTTTGTGTAAGAAAACTTTCGATAATTTTCGTCAATGTAATATTTAGCAGTATAACCTACGGCTTGAAACTATGTATACGTAATACAAATATCTAAGTACTTACAACAAACTATATACTTAACAGAGTTCATAACAAAATTTTAACTATAATGAAATAATGCTCTTGCCTATCTCCGTATCTACCCTCCGCTAGATCATCTCCACCGGTCTATTCGCCCACAAAACGTCATAGACCAGAAGAACAACACTTAATAATTCTTAACAAAAGATAGTCCCAGGCCTTCAAGGATGTGGACTGCGGGAACATGATAGTTAAATAATAAGATTGATATTGAAAATTTAAAGGAATTTCACAACTTGATAAACCATATTGTAAAACAGGCTATTCAGCTTACTTTCTTCAGACACATATCGGTGGTTTCTTTCTTTCTTTTTTTATAGTTAAGCTCCTAGCTTCTTCCCAATCAAATGAAATTATGTAAACTTTGGAGGGGGAGTGAATAGATATAATCAAATCATATAAAAGTGACAGGGAATTGAATTGAAGGAATTTAACAGATGATAACATTCCCTTTATTTGAGGAGTAAGTAAAAATATTTTGGATATAACTGACCTTTTTAATTACTTGGTCTGTGCTTGATGCTGTGCTTATGTTGAAATTTAGATCCTGTGATCAATTTCGAGGTAACAGTTCAAACCCACATTATAGCTTTAAATGTATCTTTTTTTTTTCAATGTATTTGATTCAAAATTATTTTCATTGAACTTCAGTTTAAAAAAAAAAAAAAAAAGAATACGTTTCAGTAAGCATAGAGTAATGGGAACAGTTAGTGAAAATATTAAAATCGATATAAATGCCGCTACGGAGACTCCTTTAAATCCCTTCCGAAATGCTTTCTTCTTTGTCAACATGAGTTCAACGAGACTTCTCTTTCCTCGGCATAAGCGAATAAAATGACTGAAAGGGGCAAGGATTCAGCTTCAACAGGAGAGATGAAACGAATTCCGTATTTTATGATGCTAATGAGAAGGAAAGCGGAAATGACATTTAAGTGCTTTCTTAGAGAAAAATGCTCCGCTTTTGCTGCAGTTTCAAAACCATCTTTCTTTTTGTGTTTTTAATCTATTCCGTTTTCTGGACCGCAAGACTTCCATTGTTTGGATTCGTTTCACTGTGGCGAGCTTCGTATTCAATGTAGTCAATTTTCAATTTAAAGCAACTTACGAATTTTTGCAGTACAAGTCTCTTCTAGTTTCAATTTATGTATCTTAAATACAAATATTATTAATGGAGGAGACTTT